TATTCTCTTAATCTTTTATTATAATTTATTTATTGAAAAGTCCTTTTAACTAAGGCAATTCTTGAATTCTAAGAGGAGTATCACTGTTCTCTTTATCCTCGTATCGTCCGAAAGTCAACCCTCGAAAGAGATTATAGTTGACCAATTACAATCGAACCATACAATTGGTTCCGGCATGCCTGTTTTCCATCAATATAAGATCGGATCTAACCAGCCGATTCTAGCGTCAACATTATAGATTTAATAATAAGTCTCATTAAGTATGTGCTGGGTGGTTTTAGATTTTGTGAAAATTACTCGTCAAGACAAAAAAAAAATGAAAAAAAAAATAGTTTTTTTAAGTGTGAAATTAATTCATTGTGAGATATATATATTTTGGAAAAGTTAATGTCTTTTTTAAATTTAATATCTTAAAATTTTGCCTCTTATAAAATTCAAATGGAACACATGTCATTCTATTTTTGTGACCTCAACAGTATCAACGAGGAGTACGATCATTCTATTTTATTTTCTTTGTCGGATTTTAAATTGACTGTTTAACTATAGAGATTATGATGTTACATATGTGCATAGATTTAATAATAGGTCTCATCAAGTATATGCTGGGTAGTTTTAAGTATTATGAAAATTACTTGTCAAGAGAAAAAAAAAGAAAATAGTCTTTTTTAAGTGTGAAATCGATTCATCGTGATATATATATATATTTTGGAAAGATTAATACTAATGTTAAAAAAATAACTCTAAAATATATAGAACAATAGCATCGTGGGAACTATCATGCGATTTCCACCTACAGATGCAAGCCTCCCTTAGTTGACAAGGTCAATTTTACTCTTCAAGATTGACTATGGCATCCCACAAAGTGAATGGTATATTGTCTAACTGGCCACTATAAAATTGATTGGGATTATTACGTGCATAAATAGTGTTAATAATTCATATTTATTATTTAATGGAGTCAAAATTTCATAATTTTGAAAAAATAAAGACATTAAAAAATATTGTTTACTAGGCGTATAGATACCACTTTTTGTCATTAGGTATCACTTTTTGTACTGCACAAAAACGTGATACCTAAAACACAAAAAGTGATACCTCTATTCTCAAAACAAAAGTGGTACTTGATGTACAAAAACTGATATTTATGTGAAAGTAAATAATGTTTTTCCATATTAACGTCACCATTTTTTTGAAATTATGAGATTTTGACATTTTTGAAATTGTTGAATTTGTAGAAGGGATAAAAATTGGTTAGTACTGGGGAGGGCAGGTAGGGACAGATGAAACCCATGTCGTCCATCTATCATTCATTATCTTAAGTAAATTAATAGATCAACGGGTCACTGATTCAGTAATATCATTTTTTGACCTTTTAAAGAAATATCAGAATTTAACTTTTAAAAAAAATAAGTACATGTGAGTACTAATAATAATAATAATAATAATAAAAAAACACAAATTAATAGCAAATGTATTACATTCTTTAAATAAAGTTTGTTGCATCTCGACCTTAACTTGTTCCAGTTTCAAAGGCATTGCCGGGTGTACCATTCATATGAAACACCTTGTACAACTTGAAGCATTTGTAAATTACTGCACCGAAGTTAGGTTTGTCTGGATGTCAAATATATTTTAGAAAATATTTTTTAAATTATAACTCATAACGAAGAAATGGATTTTTATTTTTCTTTTAAATTTCAAGCATATATTTCGCTAGTAGTTGCTTATTGATGTTATAATCTAAGGAGTTGTGTTGCTCAAAGTGTAGAGTGAGATATATAATTGTAAAGAGAGAAGGTGAGTCAAGTTTGTGAAAGGTGAATGAGTGTGTAATCAAAATATTAAAATAAAGATAATGTTTATTTATCAATTATGTGTGTGAATTCCTGACAAGTTCAGAAAAATTGAAAGAAAAAGCTCATAGTAGGACATGCACTTTTGAAGGCATGATTTAAACATTTTTCTATCATGTTTCAAAAGTTGGTTCATGCACATTATTCAGGACACTAAATAAATATATATATGTGGTGTACATTTAAGTAGTGAAAAGGCAGATATTCTTTCCTAATTATGTTAATTGGATTTTTTGCTTTTGATTATTTTAATATACGGAATTTGATCTTCATTGGGCTGGGTATGTTTTTGCTTTGATTTGGTTTACGTGCTTTTCCATAATTATCTTTACATTGTTATTCGTTGGCGAATTGTCAAAACTTCCCACCAACACCTCCATAAATCACTTTATAGCTTTGCTTCTTTATGCCAAAGGCAAAAGTACTTGGAATCATTTGATTGAATTTCAATATATATATGTGTGTGTGTGTGGTCTTTTTTTCTCGGAAGATAAGTTTCATTAAAGTAAAAGTATTTACTACAAGATTTACAAAGCCATACCTTGAAAAGGAAAGCCCACGAATGATGTACAAGCCTAAATAAACCAATAGAAAATTAAATATGTGTGTGGACCTTCTCAAAGAACAAGTCCTAAAGATGAAAGGGAATAAATAATGATGAATGCTCCAACCCACATTATCCAAGGAACTGTCATTAAATATGTGTGTGGACCTTCTCAAAGAACTGTCATTTTTTTTCTGAATTTGGACTGACGGACACAAGAGTTTGGTAGGCCTTGTATCTAGAATTGTGAATAGATTAGATTTTAATTCGAATTCGGTTATCTAAATATGAGTAATAATAATAAAAAAATTTATAATCTGATAATAATCTATATTCAATAAACTAAATTCTTTCAATTCAAATTTAAGGTACCGATTCCGAACATAACATTAAATCTTGTGAAGAGATTATTAACACATTTTGTGTCATTGTGGAGCAATTTTTATCGGTGTTGATAGAGAAATTTTCATATGAATCTGTTTTTGGGCTTTTCCAATTGCTAACAAAACCACAATATTTTCCCAAATTTGTTGTTGTGAGGATTTGCGATTTTAGGGTTTCTAACAGAGACGAGGGAGAGGTAGAGAGAGAGAGAGAGAGTTGTGGGCAGGTACAGAGTACAGACCTATTGAGTATGTCACGATGCCGCCCAACTGAGACTGTCTCTAACAAGAGAGAGACAAAAGAAGAAAAAAAATGTTAGAACAAACAAACAATAATTACTGAAATCTTATTAAAAATAAAATTAATCACTATCTCTCCAACAATCTAGCCACTTTTTTTATATGCGTTTCTTTTCTAACAATTCCATCCAAATTAACTTTATTACAATAATAATAATAAAAATGAAGAAGAAGAAAAAGTTAGGGAGTACCAAAAAAATCACAAAATTATATATAATCAGAAAAAAATTTCAGAATATGAAAAGTTTTCAAAAATTATAAAGTTAATTGCAAAAAATTAGGGAATTTGTTCATAGTCAGCTCTTACATCATTAACATCACTAACACAATGAAGGGCCATCTGTAATTTTGTATGAATGTTTCATCATGTTAAATCTAAAGAGTGTAAAGAACAAACTTTGCATAAACTTCGTAAATTAGCCTAATTTTTGACGTCTGAGGTAGGACCGTAGGAAAGACCTCTATTAATGCAGTTACTATTATACAAACACACTGATGTTGCGTACATCGGAGGCACGTGTCAAATGTAGTTGATAATTTATAGATAAATTATATTTTCTTTCCTTATAATTTACCATAATTACAATAACCTTCCTTTTAATTTAAGAATTTATACAAGTCCTTCCTAAAAATAAAATTAATTTATCGTTGAACTTTCTTTTATTAAAGTCAACGTTAATCAATAACTAATTATGCTGACATTATGTATTAAATTAAATAAAATATCCGTAATACCCTTATCCACTCTCTCCTCTCCTTCTCCTTCATCCTCCTCCACTACACAATCCCCATCATCCATTGGGTTTTGAAGAAGGTTTCAAATTTACAGGCGCCACAACCTCCTTGCTCAGATTGTGACTATTGTTTTTATTTACATTTGAATTATGATCATTATGTAATTTACCGATCAAATCACTTGTTTTTTCTGTATTCTTCTTCAATTGATCTTTCAATGGCACAACCGCATTAGTTTTTGCCTGGATCTCGCCAATTGCTGATCAATCTGAATTAAAATCATCAAAATTCATAGTAATATTAGCTAAATCAAAATAAATAACAAAAGCATCCCCAAGAAAATATAGAAATCTGTTTGGTTGCCAAGAAAAATACAGGAAAAGAAGCAGAACCTGGAATTTTATAACAATTTAGGAATATTCTGGAGTGGCAATTATGAAGAATAGAATTAAAATAAAATTACATAAAAAAAGGAAAAAATAATAGAGATCGAATGATTACCTGATGGAGGAGGGCTTCGGCGACCTTGGGTTTGGAGGAGATCCAATTCGCCATGATCGTTCAAATTGAATTGTGTTCTTGGGATCAGTATATGAGTCTCATGAGCTCCAGTTACGCATAGTGCGCATTTTAGCAAAGAGAAGAGAGAGACAAGAATATATGTTTATCTTTGGCCGTCTTTGTATCGTTTTATACATACACAAGCATCTATCTTTGTCTTCGCTGGCGGCCGCAACTTCATCTTACTCTCACTACACAATACCATCATCCCTTGCACCCATCAAGTAAACAAACATCTGTAATTCCATCACGAAACCCAAATCAACAAGACCTAATTACAACCCAACTTGTTGGTGCTGGTTCTTAGCCGGAGAGAAACAGTGGTCGATTGATGTTTGTGTGTGTATATATTTCTAAAAGAAAATGGGTAGTTCAGTCATTTATTATAATAATTTTGCAGTATTTTAGTAAATTAAATAGGTCCGTTAATCTATTTTACGAGAGGTTTATGTAAATTAGTTTCAATTTAAGGAAGATTTGTGTAAATTTTCAAACTAAAAAGAAGGTCTTTACAATTATGATAAAATATAAGGGAAGTTTGTATAATTTATCTATAATTTATTGTATTCGGGTGACAAATCCCTGTCCTGTCTGTCTGCGTGTTTCAGAGACGATAAGATTGTAAGAGTACGAAATTAAAAAGCATGTGGTAAATGGGGTATGCTGATATAGACCTTCATTGAAGCCTCTTTAATTTCTTCATACACAGTACTGTTTCTATTGCTTATCTTTTCTTGGTTCTAACTCTCCACAAATGATATTCTTGTTTCCCATCATGTTAAACATGATCTCCACAAACCCAAAATCAACATCACACTAACTAGTTTGAATGCACTATTTTTTTTGCCAAATACGTTGTACCCTTCGTTTTCAGGGTCGGCCTAAACTTCAATTTCATTTTCTTCACACTTGTGGGTATTCAAAATTGGTGTTCTACTCATCATTCATTTAAAGAAACTTTCCACTCTAATTGAGTCCCTAAAAACCAAAAAAAACATCCAGAACAGGTAGTTTTCTGATCACGAAGCAGAGGTGCCTTTAATCTATGGGGTACCCTTTTAATTTCTAGGGTACCCATGTTGATACTTTGATGCTATTACATGGGTCTTCATGAATATGTGAAGCCTCTGGAGTTAATATCTTTTCAGAAGTCTAAAAATCCATTGTGAAGCATATGGGTTTTGGCCTTTTGGGTCAACACTGGTCTTCTTCCCTGTTTATAAAGTTTGAAGCTTCAACCATGAAATCCATTGCCACAATGAGATTGCCCCTTTTGATATTAATCCTTTTCAATAGTGCTTGTGTGTATTGCCAAAGGCCTGCTGTTATAAATATAGGTGCACTTTTAACTTTCAATTCGGTGATTGGTAGAGCTGCGAAGGCGGCCATGGAAGCTGCCGTCTCCGATATCAATTTGGACCCGAGTGTTCTCAATGGCACTCAATTGAAGTTAATCACGGAGGATACAAATTGTAGTGTGTTTATGGGTTCCATTGGAGGTACCTCTTACTCTCCATTTGCTTGTATTTGTGTTTATGATTTTTTTTTTTTTTTCAATTATAATTCGTGACAATGTAAAAAGTGTAATTTTTACTGTGATGTTGATACTTATGCAGCAAGCAGATTCATAGAAGTCATTGTGGGTTATCTTGATCAGATCCACCTTCAGCTATAGATTGTGCAAAGCAAATTTTTCATACTTAAAACTTATTTATTTTTTTAACCAATTGTCCTCTGGTTCTAATTTTGTTCTCAAAATGAATGACAGAAAGGAAATTTAAAATGATTAAAAGTGGAATGTGGCAATTTTCTAAGTATTTTTATATATGTTGCAACGTATTTGTAAAGAGGAATCATTTCCAATTTCTCACAACTTTAAATCTTAAAAATTAAAATTATTCTTGCTAAATATGAAATGTTAGGTTTTTGGATGTCAAATTACAGAAGAGTTTTAATCCCCATAAATTGTAAGAGAAAAGAAAAGAAGTAATGCAGGTTGTTAAAACAAAACAAAACAAAACAAAACGGAAAGAATATTATTATGCATTGCGGCTCATTATTGATGATTGGGTTATCTCACATTAAACTGTAAATGATGAAATTATCTCACAGACACGTACAAGATGCATTGGCATATGAGACAGTTCCTCAAAAGTGTCGGTGCTCATTAGTTTCTTGCCTATAATATAGTAAATTTTGAAAATAATGTCATCATTATTTGGGTGCTATATCTATTGTAGTTTTGTAAGCTTTAAGTAATTCAAGTGGTGTTCAGATGTTAATTATCCTGAATCCAGGTAAATAAACACTATTAATTTGGATTCTTAATGTTATCCACAATTTCCAAATTAATTCAGGCAATCCAAGGAATGAGTGAAATTCACTTTTAAAGAGTCCAATCTGCAGTAATACTTCTTTTGGTCACATCAATTGAACTTTGTGCAACTTTTTATGGATTAATTATGGGTCAGAACGCAGGTTATTCATTCCTGTCTGCAAACTACATCAATATAATTGCAATTCTATTGTCAGCATTTCAGGTGATCGAGAAACAAGTAGTGGCAATAATTGGCCCACAGTCCTCCGCAATAGCTCATATGATTTCTCATATAGCTAATGGTCTCCGAGTGCCTCTTATCTCATATGCTGCCACTGATCCAACTCTGTCTGCCCTTCAGTTCCCTTACTTCCTCCGAACCACGCAAAGCGACTCCTACCAAATGGCTGCCATGGCTGATTTGATCAACTTTTATGGGTGGAAGGAGGTTATTGCCATCTTTGTGGATGATGACTATGGGAGAAGTGGAGTATCTGCTTTAGGTAATGAGCTTGGGAAGAAAATGTCAAAGATTTCTTATAAGTTGCCATTACCCACCCAATTTGATCTTGGTTACGTAACTGACATGCTCAATAAAACCAAATTGCTTGGACCTCGTGTTTATGTGGTTCATATTAATCCTGACCTGGAGTTGAGAATCTTTAGTATAGCTCAAAAGCTTCATATGTTGACCAGCAATTATGTGTGGCTTGCAACGGATTCGCTTTGTGCCACTTTAGATTCATTCTCCCCTGTGAATCGAGCTTCTCTGCAAATCCTCAAAGGTGTAGTTGCACTTCGTCAACATATTCCACAGACCACCCAGATTAAGGCCTTTGTGTCTCGTTGGAGAAAAATGCAGCAAAAAGGATTAGTACATTCTGGGTTGAATGCATATGGACTGTATGCTTATGACACAGTGTGGGCAGTTGCACATTCAGTTGATAAATTTTTAGACAAGCACGGGAATATAACATTTTCTTTCGATGATAATTTACATGGTATGGAAGCAACTAAAATGCAGCTTGAGAATCTCAAAGTTTTTGATGGCGGTCAACTTCTAGTCAAGATATTGTTGCAGACAAATTTCACTGGTTTGACAGGCCGGGTTCAATTTAATGCAAATAGGAACCTTGTGATTGGTGGGTATGATGTCATTAATTTTGGGCAGATGGCAATTCACAGAGTTGGTTATTGGTCTAATTATTCAGGTTTCTCTGTTTTACCCCCCGAAGCTCTAAAAGGTGAACAAGTAAGCTCTTCCCGTCTAGATCAGAAGCTTGGTAATATTACCTGGCCTGGTGGAAAGACGGAAAAGCCACGTGGATGGGTGATTGCTGAGGATGAAAAGCCATTGAGAATTGGAGTACCAAATAGAGCCAGTTTTAAAGATTTTGTGACAGGTTTTAACCACAGCCACAAAATAGAAGGATATTGTATTGACGTGTTTGAGGAAGCACGAAAACTAGTCCCATATGCTGTTCCTTACATATTTGAGCCTTTTGGGGATGGTCAGTCCAATCCCAATTATGATGAGCTTGTGAAGATGGTTGCAGATGATGTAAGTAAATCATATTAATTTTCTTTCAGTAACACTAGGTCCAGCACATGGAATGTGGGCTAAGGACATCCTATTAATTTACACAAAACATGCTGAAAGAATGAAGTCACACGAACAGATCTTTCCTAGGAGATGCTTTCTGCCGAAATTTCAAATGGATGACACCAACCAACTGATCTAAATCACTGTTGCGTTTTCCTTTTTCCTTTTCTTTTTTGAGGCCTGGTTTGCCATTTGTTTGCATTGTTATATAATACATGACTGATTTAAAAGAGGAACATGGGGGAAGTGGAAATGACGTGTGTGTTGTTATGATTTTTTTTTTCCTTTTTGCCCGGTTGCCTTTGGTCCGAGTGTCCTAGAACTTGAAGAATGGTATGTTTGCGAGGCACATTGATTGGTAATTTGAATTCCATTTAGCATGACTTGTTCATTCTATGAGAGTATGGTTTCAGGTGCTTGATGCAGCAGTTGGGGACATTACAATTGTTATGAACAGGACAAAGATTGTTGATTTTACTCAGCCTTATGTTGCCAGTGCTCTCGTTGTAGTGGTCCCCATCAGGAATTCAACATCAAGTGGTTGGGTTTTCCTCAAACCATTTACAGTGCAGTTGTGGTGTGCCACTGCAGCTTCTTTTGTGATGATTGCAGCGGTTATTTGGATTCTTGAACATCGTGTCAATGATGACTTTCGTGGTCCTCCTAGGAAACAGCTTATAACAATGTGCTTGTAAGCTTCATTGATGTTCTAATGAACTCCCTTTCCAATTTTCTTTACAAAATATTGTCATTAAATATTTTGATGCTTCAAAGTTGCATTTATGAACCCTATGTTTACATAAGAGTATTAAATTCTGATCATTTCATGATGCAGGTTCAGCTTCTCAACTCTGTTCAAGACAAATAGTAAGGACAATTATGACTTCTAAAACATGTTTAATTTATTTCTAGCTATAGTGTATGCACGTTTCTTTGAGGAATGCTGATTAGGTAAGTTTTAGGGCTTGCATTGTTTTTGTTTCTATCTGAAGTTTTTAAAATACTAGTAACAAGAATTATGACTCTCTTTCCAATTTAGCAATGATCTAGATTTACATTCATATCAAATTTTGTAATTCCAACTGAAATCAAGTTGCTATTCTTTATATGAAGCTTTGAAACCCTGATTTGATATGGAAGTGTGGCGAGATAACAATTGAAAGTATTGGGAGATAACAATTCTTCTGTAATGTCAATTGTTGTCAGCCATGGAAGTATTGAGAGAAAACTACTTTGCCCGTAATGATTCAAACCTAGTGGTCATCTCATTGAAATATTGAACAATGTGGTGTGTCATGGCTGTATCATGCACAATTTGATATTTCAAACCTAATACTAAAGATTTTCTGTCATTTAACCTTAAAAAAACAAATTTATATATTGAAAATCTCAATTAGGTTTTTTATATTCATTCTCAATATTGCATACTTTTCTTGCAATAATTGGTGATATTTGTTACCTGTTCCCTTTCTATTGGATTTAATTTTCTATAAGGGGGGAAAAAGTACTTTCATTCTGTCACTGCTTTGATTATATAAGTAAACTCTGTGACTGACAATTAATTAATTGACAACTTTCTTGTTATCATTATATCGCAGAAGAGGATACAGTTAGTGCACTTGGACGGATGGTAATGGTGGTATGGCTTTTCTTGCTGATGGTGCTCACATCAAGCTATACAGCAAGCTTAACTTCAATTCTTACAGTCCAGCAGCTTTCCTCATCCATCACGGGGATCGATAGCTTGATTACAAGCGATTGGCCTATTGGGTATCAAGTAGGGTCATTTTCTTATAGCTATTTTACAGACATTCTTAACATACCTCGTTCAAGACTTGTAGAACTTGGCTCCCCAGAAGAATATGAGAGAGCATTGCGACAAGGACCTAGTAATGGAGGGGTGGCAGCTATTGTAGATGAGATAACATATGTGGAGTTATTTCTGTCAAAGCAGACTGATTTTGGAATTGTTGGGCAACCATTCGCATGGAGGGGATGGGGATTTGTAAGTGGCTCTCTCTACATGTAGATCAATGATGCTTAACACATACACATAAATACATGCATGATATGTCTAATTAATGTGAATGTGCACTCTTACATGGTTGCATTTTACATTCATGTATGCATGTATGTAGCCTGCACAATCATGAGTTTGGGTTAAGTTACCAGCTGAAATATCAATATTGCATATTTAAAGCAGATTCAATTCTTTTAATAGGATAAAGAAGGGGGAAAATGTTATTCTCATGAAGTAGTGGCATTTAAACCTGATTTAAGACATTTATTAGTCTTTGAGTCACACCAGTGAACTTTGCCTGGATATAATGGAACCTAAGAGAACTATTGTTTGTGGCATCTCATTGAATTGACATTTACTCTGCCTTGTAATAATATCAGGCTTTTCAAAGAGACTCTCCGCTTGCTGTTGACATGTCAACGGCAATCCTTAAACTGGCTGAGAACGGAAGACTTCAGGAGATCAACGAGAAGTGGTTTTGTAAGACAGGTTGTTCTGCAGAGAGGATAGGAAGCTCTCAGCCTAATCAGCTCCACTTGAATAGCTTCTGGGCTCTCTATGTTTTATGCGGTGGTTTTGCTCTCACTGCCTTAATCCTGTTTTTGCTTCGTACTGTTCGCCAATATATCCGGTACAAATTGAGTCAGATGGACCATTCTACTCCTTCCTCCTCAGTATCATTAAGCACCCGTTGTTCTCATGCCATTTATAGCTTCGTTCACTTCATTGATGAGAAGGAAGAAGCTATCAAAAAAAAATTTACCCAGCGTGACAACCCTCAACCCCAAACAAGCTGATCAATCATGTTTTACATTCACAAAAGGGTTCGAAGGGGCGGTCTATTTTGTTAGAGCAATTTGAATATTTTGGTGTAAAAATGAATACCAGTTTGTAGATGACAAGTTTAGTACATTTTTAAGTAGCATAATGAAGCATGTAAATATATATATATATATAAACAGTGCAATATATAGTTCTTCATATTGATATTTATTTTTCTTCTGCTCCAGTTAGAATTTTCTGCCAGGATTTCTTGATCCAATTATATGGTTGTTGATATGTTTCCCTTTTTTATTTACCACTCAAGTCAAGGCTTTGGTAATTTTAATGGTTTGAAGTGACTTGCAGCACCCTGACTTGTGCCCTATTCTGGTTTTAACTTTTTAAGTAGGAGATCTTAAACCAGACTGAAGTAATATGGATTGGCTCATCTACATCATGGACCTTGGTAGGAAATTATGATTGAGTTGATCTTTTGTAGTTAGATCTGTTCCTGTTTTTCGTGACTCAATAGATGGATATGATTTGCACATATTTGCATTCTAATGATGAAAAAACTGTTATCTAGCACTTAGTCATACAAATTGAATTTATGAACACCTATAATAAAGATGCACAAATATTTCATGTCTGGTCTCATTAGGTACCTGAGCTACATTCAGACATTGAATCTATTAATCCCACATTGTAGATCAAATTAAAATTCAAAACTAAATAGAATTTCCTTCCAAAGGGTAGCACACAATCGAAGTAAGATGGGAATCAAAACCCAAATCCTTGGTCTACTTTTCATCCTTCATCTTCCTTCCAATTTATTCATTTTTCACTTGTGCTTTTTCTTTCCTTCCCCGATACTCTTTGGGTACATTAAATTAAACATTATGGTCTTTTTCATCACAGGATTTCTCACTTTTTTTAAAATCTGATCTCTTATACTTACCGACTCCACACCCAACTCTCATTCAAAGTCGGATGTCGGGTGTCATCAAAATTATCTTTTCTTTTTTATTAGGCTGTGTTCAGCTGTATAGAATTGGAACATTAGAATTGAAATTGATGGAATTGGAAAAAATTTTAGTTCAATTTTCTGTATTGTCTTTCTCTTATTTCACAATTTTAATTTCAAAACTCTAATTTTATAGAGTAAAACATAGTATGTTATGTGTATTTTAACACAGTTTTTGAATAGATAAAAACATCAAGCCGCCCACTCCTAAGAGAACATTTTCTAGCATGATTTTCAATTGATGGCTCGCTTTTTACAGAAACCCTTTATTAGGATTTGTGTTTTCAATTCAATAAACACTTCCAAATTACACCTTGTATTCCATGTTTTGAATAGAGATGTCTGGGGAGCTATAAAGCACGGACACTCCTCCCAGGGGTCCCGTACCCGTGTCGGATACTTTTCAGACACCGACACCAGTGTCCGAGGGTCGGACACATGTCCGATACTTCTGTAAAGTGTTCAAATATTATTTTTTATTGGACACGCGTGTCCGAAGCTCGAACACACGGTCAGACACTTTTGTAAAGTGTCCAAAATTTATTTTCTCTCACTCCTCTCAATCTCTCCTCTTCTTCAATTATCTCTCTTCATGAACAAGATATATATATATATATATATATATATTTAAGTTACATGAACAAAACTTTGTGAAAGACTAAAAGTATATATGTTTATTCATATACATATTTAGTTCATTATAGTTATGTCTCTTCTGCACATCTTCGTTTGGAATTTGGATCAACTTTATTTTTCATTTATTTTCTGTTTTGTCTTGTTTATATTTTTCTTATAACAGAGATGAAATTATTGAAATTGATTCTGTTCTTTGTTGTTGTTTTATTTTTCTGTACAAGATTATAGTAATATATATATATATATATATATATATATATATATATATAATTTTATAGGCGTATCCCCGCCGTGTCCGTGTCCTATTTTTTTAAAATTTGCCGTGTCGTCGTATCCGTGTCATGTCATACCCATGTTCCGTATCTGTGTCCGTGTTTCATAGCTGGGGAGACATTATATATTCTGCTGCAACATGCTTTTATTTATGTGTTTGATTTTCCTGTAGATCTCATTTGCAATAAAGATTTTATTCTAGTTGCAACTTTTTCTTTCTGGATTGTGTGTGGCAGAGTCAGTTGGATGATTGGAAACCCATGCTGACCTGTGTTTGTGTGTTCGTGGAGCAAAAGCAGGTTAAATCACTTTAAAATCTCCCAACATATTTCAATAGCTTCTCTCACGCCTCGGACCCGGACCCGGACCCGGACCCGGACCCGGACCCGGACCCGGACCCGGACCCAAAATTATAAAGAAAAAATATACCTAGTAGTAATGCGAAAGCACCAAATATTTATTGTTGATCGTTGAGGGGAAGGAATTGGAAAAAATTCATTACCATACTAACTACTCAATGTTATGCACTTCATTATGCTTAGTGGGTGTTTGGAATTGCTTCTCTATTACTGAAAATATTTTTATTTTAAAAAATTGCGATGCAATGTGTTTGGTGAAAAAATAAAGCTCTTATAAATGATAGAGGTCAGGTATAAAAAGCGCGTATAAGTGAAGATGGGAATCGTAACTTTTAAAATTACGTTATGGTAGAGATCCATGTTTTTAGGTAACTACTTTTCTTATATACAATTTAATCCTTTTATATTTTTTATAAATACAATTGTATCCCTTCTACAAATGAACAGCAAACAATATGGACTCTGTAACAAACTAAAATCCTAATTTATTTTGAGACTCTCTAGCTGCCTTTCAATCTCAGTTTATTTTGGGACTTTGAATTATATAATTGTTAGATGTTTAATTTTTAATAAATTATGATTTGTAATTTGTTTTTAAAATAACTATAATACATTTATACTATTATCTTAAATAACAAGTAATACGATTATTAATTGTGATTAAAGTGTTTAGTTTTATTTTATGAAATGTTATCTATATTGCAAAATATTATATTATTAAATTTCATTATCAAATAGTATATGAACAAATTTGCTTAATTTATCCCAAATCAAATACAAATTAATCATCATTAAAATATGTTTAATTTATTTATATTTTAGTACTCAATATAAATTCGATATCATAAACAAAATACGTAATATTTAAAATTAAAAAAAATAAAATAAAATACAAGTTGATCTTTATAAATTATTGAACTCAATAAAATTTTATAATATTTAATATTAGGGAATTAGTATATGTTTAGTGTAAGGGTAATATAGTAAAATTAGTAATAAAAGTGCTTTAAGCAACATTATTACCAAACAAATTTAAAAGTGCTTCGAGTATAAAAAGTGCTTTATACAATGTGGCACTAAACACTTAACTGCATCTTACTGAAAGCACTCTTACAACAGCTTTACTATTAAAAACGCTTTTAACATTCTAATAGCAATCCCAAACTGGCTCTAAATCAAAAGTTGTATAGAGGTAAATGGCCTAAGTTTCTTGGTAAAATAGAAAAAAATAAAAACAATTATTTAGTGCTTAAAATTTAGGATAAATTACATTGATCACTTCTGAGGTTTGGATAAATTAGATGCAGTAGAGTGTTTTACATTTATTATTTTGACCTCCTCAAATATTTGACTTATGTGTTCAACAATAATCCTCGCCGGTAATGAAAATTCTTCTTTCCTTGTGCTAAAAGATCTTAATAACTTTATATTTTGACATGAAATAACAAAAATACCATGAAATGTCATTGAAATGTAAAATATTATTTTTCATACAAAATTTATATTATTAAATTTTGCAATTTTTTTTTTTTTAATAACATTTGATTAGGTGTCTTTTTAGGGTTTGATTAGGTTTCTTTTTTTTTTTTTTTTCAAATTTTATATTATTAAATTTTACAATTTTTTTTTTAATAACATTTGATTAGGTGTCTTTTTAGGGTTTGATTAGGTTACTTTTTTTTTCAAAAAAAAAAAAAAAAGAAAGAAAAAAAGAAAGAAAGAAGAATTAGGTAGGGTAATATAAGGGAAAAAAATAAAAGGGTAATACAATCATTTGATTTGAATTTATTATTAAACTATCATTCAATTAGATAAGAGTATGAAAGACATTTTATATTCTTAAGATGTCAAAATAATAAAGATTAAACGTTATATTTATGCAATTTGTTCAAACATGAAAAGAGGTCAGCGTAATTTATTCTAAAATTTATAGTTAAGTAAACTGAAATAGAAAAGTTTCAATTTTCTTTTTTCAGTCAAATTAAAATATAACTAATAACTCTTACTTTTACAATTTTTTCCAATTGAGTTCTAAACCACTTCTGTTGCCTAATCCAAAATTTGATGCCTAATTCGTTCCTTGCAAACTGGCAATTAGATGCTGAAACAAAATACTCCTAAAACGACATACATTCGTTTCATATTTGGTCCACATGTTTCACATGCATATTTACAGTTGGGACTTGGGACCCACTACAAATTTGAAATATCTAAAAACCATCATCAGATTCTGATATCTGAGACGGGACTGTAAATGCAGATTTTTTTTTTTCGTTCTTCTTCTTTTTTTTTTAATACTGAATTTCTATTTCAGAAAAAAGAAAAAGAAAAAATAGAGTAAATAATTATATTGTAGACAAGAATTATTCCTTACTGAGCTTTCAAGACAGACAGTCTTTGAACTTTTGAATCTCTCAATGTCGGTTATGTTTGAATGAGAAATGATCTCTTTTAGCTTTTCTTAGGTGTTTTGTATATAAATGCACTCAATCTATTCGAAGATCTGTCTGCATGTGGTCTTCAATCAAGTAACCTCAAATTCCCCTTGTAAGTATCTCTTATTTACATTTAGTGTCATTTTCTCTTCATTTGTTAATCCATCCGTATGAGTTCTTCAATAAAGTTGAATAATGCCTCTCCAACTTGTTTTGTATTATGTCTATGTTTATATTAATTTATATACACTGTAAATAAATAGTAGAAATGTAAATAAATAGTACAAATGATGGGTATTTGGAACAAAAAATCACTAAATTTACAGCTAAAATTGGTTATTCTCAATGCTGAATATTGTAGATATTGTTCTTGTTATGCTTACTGTTAGTTACCATGTGTGTACCAATATCTAGCATCCAAGTTTGGATTTCAGTTATTAGGTAGTTTTGGGTTGTTACTGAGAGTGTTAAGAGACGTGTTGGACATGTTTGGAAATCTTCAAATTGTAAGCTTTTCTTTCATGCTATATCTGTTAACAGTGCAAATTGTGATCTGAAGAGTCAATCAACCAATTGCTGGCTTTCTTAAAAATGGTGGTCCACGTATCCATAAAGAGAGCTTTACTGGTGTTGATGTTCTTCTGTATGTGGGAGTCCATGGAAGTCCTGGCTAAGAATGGAAATGTCAGCATTTCTTCTTCAAGGCCTCCTGTTGTGAATCTTGGAGCTTTGTTTACTGTCAACTCAGTCATTGGACGGTCCGTGAGGCCAGCGATTGCAGCTGCAATTGATGATGTCAATTCTGATTCAACCATTCTTGCAGGGACAAAATTGAACCTTTTTTTTCAAGATACAAATTGCAGTGGATTTCTTGGAACCGTAGAAGGTAATTCGTAAATGCCCTTGTGTTGATGAACTTCTTCTCTGAGAGGCTCCAAATTTAGACTTTCCCTGCTATTAATAGGAGGGAACTACCCCCTCGGGTAGTCAGTTTAGGACACTGAAAAATAGAATATGCCCTTGATTATATAAAAAAGTAGAGTTTTAGAAGGGAAATATGAGGTTGTCTTAGTTAACTGTACTTCTACTCATTTAATTTGCAACTCTGCTTTTGAACTGCCTTATGCAAGTACACAGTATTGAGCATCATGTGCTTTGTGATCTCAGTTATCAATTTCTTATAACTGCAGTACTTTTTTATGAACTACGGTCTAGATAGCATTCTTCCAGGACTTCCTAAAATTCTAATTCTAGAGTGGCACCTAAGTTTCTCACAATGTCAATTGACTCAATTGTATCAGCTTTGATTTAGGAACGTTAATCTTAACTAGCCAAATAGTTCATGGACTATGTGGACTTTGGCTAGGCGTTGTTTTTTGTATGACATGGCCCTGGATTGTTTAAGTCTTTTGTTTCTTTGATATATTACAACTCTAGAAGTCATTGAGTTTACATGCTAGAATTGAAGTTTATGACCCATTGTAGAACCATCTATTCAGCACAAGTTCACAACCATCACTCAAGCAGATTACCAGTTTGTTAGAAATCCTAATATGAGAGCATAATGATTAAGAAATTTGTTTCAATATTAGCAGGACACAAAGAGGTCAAAAAGATATCCGCTAGATTTACAAGTAGCCAATAACCAAAGCAAAAGGTAGAGAAGAGGACTCACATAATTGTGTGACTACTTATGAACATAGCAACTTATCTGTGACAAACACCCCTTTCAATAAACAAAAATAAAAAAGTTGGATGATGAGTGTTTCACTAATTGCTCTCTCTCTCTCTAGATCAAGGATTATCTTGTAATAAAATAAAAGGACAATTTTGACAAAGCATCCTTGCTCATGCAGCTTTTGAGCTGATGGAGAAAAGTGTGGTGGCTATAATTGGCCCCCAATCCTCTGGAATAGCACATGTTCTCTCCCATGTTGTAAATGAACTTCATGTGCCACTCCTGTCATTTGGGGCAACAGATCCCAGTCTTTCTGCATTGCAGTACCCATATTTCCTCCGCACCACACAGAGTGACTATTTCCAGATGAATGCAGTAGCTGATTTGGTCGAGTTTTATGATTGGAGGGAGGTAATTGCCATCTTTGTCGATGATGATTATGGTAGAAATGGGATTTCTGTATTGGGTGATGCCCTCGCAAAGAAGCGTACCAAGATCTCTTACAAGGCTGCCTTCACTCCTGGAGCCTCCAGAAGTGATATTAATGATTTATTAGTTGAAGTAAACCTGATGGAGACTCGGGTTTATGTCGTACATGTAAATCCTGATTCTGGTCTAACAATATTTTCTGTAGCAAAACATCTTCAGATGATGACCAGCGGCTATGTTTGGATTGCTACAGATTGGCTTCCTTCTGTTCTAGATTCGCCAGAATCAGTTGGTACTGATACAATGAATCTCTTACAAGGGGTTATTGCACTTCGTTTTCACACTCCAGACTCTGATCTAAAAAGAAGTTTTACATCCAGGTGGAATAACTTGAAATATAAGGAAACCTCGGGCTTCAATTCTTATGCACTCTATGCTTACGATTCTGTTTGGTTAATTGCCCGTGCTCTTGAAGTTTTCTTCAATGAAGGTGGAAATATCTCTTTCTCTGACGACCCCAGGTTGCACAACATCAGTAGAGACGCACTAAAGTCAACAGCACTCCGTACTTTTGATGAAGGCAAGAAATTGCTCCACATACTTATGGCAACGAACTTCACAGGTTTGACTGGTCAAATTCAATGTGATCCAGAGAAGAATTTAATTCGTCCAGCATTTGATGTTCTTAACATTGGTGGAACTGGGCTGCGCAGGATAGGTTATTGGTCAAATTATTCTGGTCTTTCTGTTGTTGCTCCAGAAATCTTATATAAGAACCCCCCAAACACCTCAACCAGTAATCAACATCTTTACACAGTAATCTGGCCTGGTGAAACAATTACAAAGCCACGGGGATGGGTGTTCCCTGATAATGGGAAGCCATTGCGAATTGCAGTGCCTCGCCGAGTAATGTATCAAGAATTTGTAGCTAGAGACACGAATCCCCCAGGGGTGAGAGGATACTGTATTGATGTCTTTGAAGCTGCACTCAACCTGTTGCCGTACCCCGTCCCTCACACATACATTTTATATGGAGATGCTCAGAGAAACCCTTCCTATGACAATCTTGTGAATGATGTCGCACAGAATGTGAGTATCTGCTTTTAAGTTTATTTGTCATACAACCCCACTAACTTTAGCATTGTCTTCCTAAGTTTGCATACCAGAACCCCCTCCCTCAAAAAAAAAAAAAAAATAAGGTAATAATAAAATGAAAAGTGAAAACTAAGATTACATGGAGCTTTGGCATTAATATTGAATATTGTGTGTTCTTGCTTTTGTGTTGGTATTGGTATTCTCTGTAGAAATAGTAGTTGTAATAATTTGTTTGGATTTCTGTAAGGTTTCAATAGTATGGTAATTTTCTTGGTTTGCTTAATCTTCCAGAAGTATGACGCAGCTATTGGGGACATTACAATTGTTACCAATAGGACTACAGTGGTGGACTTTACACAGCCTTACCTGGAATCTGGACTTATCGTAGTTGCTCCTGTCAAACAGATGAAGTCTAGTGCTTGGGCTTTCCTAGAGCCATTTACTGTGCAAATGTGGTGTGTCACTGGGGCCTTCTTTCTTTTTGTGGGAACTGTTGTCTGGATACTCGAGCATCGGATGAATGCTGAATTCCGTGGTCCGCCGGGACAACAACTCGTAACAATCTTTTGGTTAGTATTTTTTAACTCACAAGTCTTCCAGTCTAAATAGAGTCACTGCATGTCTCACTAGAAGATGATGTCAAAGCATTTAGGTGATGGACTTGGATGTTGCCAGGGCATTCACATCCCTCTAACTATAGCACTGCATATGTAGAACATCATGCATATTGCACCACGGAGAACAACTTATCAGTGTAAACATGAGTTTTCTACTTGAACATTCTCAAGAAGTCTATAATGGATGGAGACAGAGAATATAACTTTCAGATTTTTTGAAAATAAATTTATGTGCTGAGGTAATTTGGCTAGTGGCTAGCCAATCATACTGGCTATAATTATCCAAGCTACCTGAAAGCCTGCCTCAAAACCCATGTGAAAACCGAGATTATGTTTGCCTTGGCTCATCCCTTGTTTTAACTTTACAAATGTTAAAGAACAATACCAAGAGTCTAAGATGGCTTTAATTTTGCAGGTTTAGCTTCTCAACAATGTTTTTTTCGCACAGTAAGTAAACCATGCCTGGTCCTTATATTCTTCCGTGTCATGTCTGTTCTTTTAATTTATTTCTATGGAGTTGTCTACAATTTTTGGAAATTTATGCTTGAAAACCACTAAAATTCTTCCCTGTTTGGACTTAACACAGGGGAGAACACTGTGAGCACCCTCGGACGTTTAATACTCATCTTATGGCTCTTTGTGGTCTTGATTATCAATTCAAGCTACACAGCTAGTTTGACGTCAATCCTTACGGTGCAGCAGTTGACTTCACGGATTGAAGGGATTGACACTTTGATTTCAAGCAATGATCCAGTTGGAGTTCAGGATGGATCATTTGTGTATAACTATCTGATTGAAGAGCTCAATATTGCAGAATCTAGGCTCAGAATATTGAAAACCCAGGAAGAATATGTTAGTGCCCTTCAGCTAGGTCCAAAAGGTGGTGGTGTAGCTGCAATAGTCGACGAGCCTCCTTATGTTGATCTCTTCTTGTCTAAAACTGATTGCATATTTGGGACTGTTGGACAGGAGTTTATGAAAAGTGGATGGGGATTTGTAAGTATCTCCTCAGTATAAGTCCAAAGAAGTATAACTGCAACTAAATTGAAATGACTTGGCAAACTTTTTTTGACAACCTACGATTCTCCAATTGAAAAATATTGTTGAAATAAAAAAAGTGTTGGGTGATGCCATTCTTTTCCATATGCTAAATACAAATTTGATCTTATGCTAATTTAAGCCTAATCTCTTTTTCTTTTTTCTTTTTTCTTTTTTTGGTCGCTCTATATTATTTCTAGCACCATGATTTTGATGGCTGGATGGAAAGGAGTTCAATTGGTTGTGTGGTTCTAAGAAAGCGTGGAAAATATGCGCGCGCACACACACACACACACACACATATAGAGAGAGAGAGAGATTAGATGGACAATATATAATAGCACTGTATCCTTTGAATTTAGAACTATTTTGCAACAAGGCCTAATTTGACTGTCATGTTTGATTTCTTTGACTCAGGCGTTTCAGAAGGACTCTCCTCTTGCAGTGGACTTGTCAACTGCAATTCTTCATCTTTCAGAGCGCGGTGATCTCCAAAGAATACATGATAAATGGTTGTTCCACAGCAAGTGCAACCAACAAATCAATGAAGTTGAAGCAGCTCGTCTTTCTCTCAAGAGCTTCTGGGGCCTATTCCTTATCTGTGGTATTGCATGCTTCCTTGCACTTGCAGTGTTTTTCTGTAGGGTGTTCTGGCAATACCGCAGATTTAGCCCAGAAGGCGAGGATCAGGAGCTTGAAGAGCCTGAACCTGCAATGGCTAGATGTACAATCCCAAGAGCTAGCTTCAGGGACATGATTGATTTTGTCGATATGAAAGAAGCTGAGATTAAGGAAATGCTCAAAGGGAAGAACGGTGATAAGAGAGGACAAGCTAGCCAGAGCTCTATCCAGCCTGGTTCACCTCCCTGAGAAAAATTTGTTACTGTGAACTGGTGATTTGTTCCAATGTCCTTACCCTTGTTGCTTTTATATAACACAATCTAGGACGCTAACACATACTCCCCATTTCCACGATACCAGAAAAAACTAGATTGAGAATGTTATCTAGACAATCCGCAGAGAGAGATCGATCTTGGCTACATGTGTTACTACTGTTTGTGATTCAGGACGATCTCTGTGTTTGCATTTTTTTTTCACAAAAGAGGAGTTTTGAAGAGGCTGAAGTTTTACAGTTTCTTCTTAGTGGGTTAGAAGAATGCTACAAGAGCATTCTGTTTCAGCCTTTCTAAGGTGCCTAACAAACTTATTAGAAATATATCCTCAATTCTGCGTACAGATGGTAGGTCCATTGAGTAGAAACTTGAACTACAATTACTATTTGTAGGGTTCAAAGTTCTTGGACCTCTTATATGTAACTCTAATGCAAGGTCTTGTCAGGAGTTGGAACTCCCGTTATTCTATCACTACTTATGTTTACCCGGTTCCCTACGCATTGGTAAGTACGTTCCCCCTGCCGGGGCGGGAAGAGTCTCCCCCATTAGAACTGTTCCTGAGCATTCTGGTCAAGCTAAAATAACGTTTTTTGATTCATCAGATGCTGATAAGGAAGCAACATCATTCATTCATATGATACAGAAATGCAACAAAACTAGATGTGCAAGACTCTATAAGCTTGTTTCATACAAAAAAGATTAATTTATAGGTCGTCATGTTAAATTCGCAAAAGTAAGAATAGGGATGGACTCCAAATTGACATTTTTTGTCATACATATATTATTCAAACAGCGAAAGCCAGAATATAAGTATTGCCTCGAGTCAACCTATTTTCATCAAAAACAAAACAAAAACTGCCATTCTAAGGTTGCAAAGATCCACATAAAAAGGGATTTAAGGACATTCCAGCATAGGCTTTACTCAAGTTTCACTTCTCTATTTGGAGGATCCAATTGCAAATAGGAAAACGGCTCAGTTGGTTCTTCCCTGCAAACAAAACATGTGATTCAATTAGCAGAATTAAAAAAATATATACTTCAAAAGTAAATGGCACATCCCATTAAACTTTACACTGAACTATTATGTATGTGAGTCCCTAGAATTGAAAACCTTGGCCAAAGAACTAATTTAAGTGGAACGTCAACCGCCCCTCTCGTATTCTACGTGCTGGATTACACGTCAATTGCCTTAACTTACGGTAGAGAAAATTACCAAGTTTCAAGGAGAACCACATACAATAGAATGAAAGATCAAACATACCCAGGTTTTGAGCGCATGCACTGCCAGAAGAGCTTAAAAGGCCCCGGAACAGTCTTAAATGGGTTGCCTTCAAAACATGCCTACAAAGTATACAAAAAAGATAAATCAAGAAAAGTTAGACAATGTTGAACCTTCACGGCCAAGCAAAAACCGATTCCAGATGAAGAGTTTGCTACCAAGAATCTCTAAGGCAAGCAACGGCGCTAAGATGATAGGCTCAGAGAGTATGATACTCAACTCATACATCATGAAGGAAAACGTTGTTTAAATCATCTCACTATGCATTTTTACATTTCATTTGTGACAGATCTGTTTTGTTGTTAATAGATTTAAGTGTACTTATTTCCTAAGTAAGAATATGTTTGTTCTACAGATCTATCTATACTGCTACAATTTTTTGAAGGGGAGTTATATGTTGTTCTTAAACAAATCATTCCCTGGTTCATTAATTATCACGTCTCACATAAGCCTCCATTAATTGTTTTTAAAATGTCTCTAAAGATGGAATTAAACATGTCAAAAGTTAGTGGTGCACAACTCACCCAAAATATATACACAAGTACAATGCAGGAACTCATTCAGCCAGAAGCCATAGAGAAACATTTAAACTTAAAATTTATAAGCTCACCTCTCACAAAAGATCCAAAGCAGCACCAAACAGATGGAATTAAAACAACAAATGCCAAAATTCATGGTCTCAGCACAGTGAATCATTAAAAAAAATCCAAGTGCTTCTACCATCTTCAAATCCTACACCGATTCAGGATCTTCTTAATGGACATCAATCACATGATCAACAGTAAGAACGAAGAAAGAACCTATAGAAATTAAACCCATCCAGCAAATTGGAAAAGAAATCAAAATAAAGATAATGTCCTGCCCTAGAATCCTAAAGTTGAATCCACTAAGTATTCAATATCAATTTACTTAATTGTGAAATTAGAATTAGATTTGAGTTGGCCTCGTCCTAGGTTGGTGTATATTGATACACTTATAAAGAATTAAAAAGAAAGCACCAAAACTACCACTTCACCTCAAAAATCCAAATATTAACACCAACCCATATACCCACAACAGTTCTTTAACAGAAAGTATGTATGTGGGTACAATTATAGCATTTAACAAACACACACACAGTATAAGTATATATGAAGATTCTAAGGGGTTTGATTTAAAAAAGAGGGGAATAGAAATACTTGGACGACATCTTCGGCTCGATCGTTGCATCTGTGTGCCTTTGGCTCTCGGTGATTTTCCCCTGATATGCCCCAAGGGCTCTCTCTCCTCGGTACCGGCCTCTCACTCATCTTCTTTCTTTCTTCTTCTTCTTCTTCTTCTTCTTCTTCCTCCCCCTCTCTTTCCTCTCTCCACTGGATGGATGAAGAAAATGGAGAGCACCTGGCCATAGTAATTTGGATCCATGTTTTTATATATACTCCGTATGATGGATCCATTATCATCCGCCAATGGGTCGGGGCTCACCAGTGTGATGCGGATGCCATGCTAGATTATCGGATTCGGATCTAGTTCCAATCAAATTTCGATCATGGATTCATGTCTAATCTCAATTCTTAACCCTAGTTAGGTTGGACAGGAAAAAAAAAAAAAAAAAAAGTGTTAAAATTAACTTTTTAGATATTGTTTCCCTGATGAATTCAGGTGTTGATTTAGTTAGGATGAGAAATAACTGAATATGTTTATACATCAAATTCTATATTACTAAAGAATTAAATAATAAATAATAAATATTATATAATGTCTCCGAATTGACATGCTTATCATTTTTTAAAATTGATAATTAGGTGTTCTGATCAAATCCGTGGATGACAATCAGATCTAAGGATTAGAATTTTTTTAAATAGTCTTATATTATAATTTTTTAATCATAACCTCAATAGATAATGTTGAGGTTGAAATTCAATACGGTACCGTTTTCCTACAAGGAAGAGAGGAGAAGATCGATGAACCTTGACGGCACCGGTGTGGTGCCTGTCAAGAGCTCTCCGACGATCAAATTAGTCACGGGGGTCTAAAAAGAAGGAAGGGATTAAAATAAGTCAGGTTTTTTTTTTTTGGCACCAGAGGGAACAGTACCCTTGGGGGAACAGTACTCGCGGGGTACTGTTCCTGAATAGTTTTTTTTTTTTTTGCACCCGAGGGAACAGTACCCGCGGGTACTGTTCATGAATAGTAATATTTATTTATTTTTACACCCGAGGGAACAGTATCCTCGGGTACTGTGCATGAACAGTACCGGCAGGTACTGTTCATGAATAGTAATAATTTTTTTTTTTTTTTTTTTTTTTTTTTTTTTTTTTTTTTGCACCCGAGGGAACAGTACTCTTCCTTTTATAAGGGAATAAATTATACGACTTTCACTCCTTAATAAGGGAATTGAATTTTACGAGTTTTACTCAGCTCGTCCCTTTAGTAAGGGAATTGAACTTTACGAGTTTTACTCAGCTCATCTCTTTAATAAAGGATTTTTATTTACTATCCCTTATTGTAAGGGGATATTAATTATGGGATTCATCCAGCCCAGGTCCTTGTAGTACAGGACATTCATTTATTATCTCTTATATTACAGGGATATGGATTACGGGATTCATTCAACCCGGATCCTGATAATACAAGATACCTATCCCCTATAGTCCAGGGATATGGATGACGGGATTCATTCAGCCCGGGTCCTTGTAATACAGGACACTCATTTACTATTCCCTTATAGTACGGGGATACGGATTATGGGATTCATTCAGCCCGAGTCCTTGTAATATAGGACACTCATTTACTATCCCTTATAGTACGGGGATACTACACGTATAAACTAAAAGGAATTTTATTAAAGACCATCATTATTAAAAACAAAGTAACACGTGATGGAGCTACCCTCCATTTAAAATGATTAACTAAGATGCCCCCAGTTTTTATTGTGAATGACTTGAGAAGGCTAATTCCAGCCGCGAGACAATTTCTAGTCAGTATACTCATCTGAGTCATTCTCATGATATGTGCTGTCACTCTGGCTGAAGAACGATTTCTTATATTTGGTATTATTTTCATCCCTGGCGAGAGGGGCTGGCCTCTTCTTATCCTCTCCTTCCTTCCGTGCACTCATGGTGTCTTCAGCGTTGATGTGTTTTTACGCTCTGACCAGCAACTCTATCATGCTGGTGGGAGGTTCTTTTGATAAGGAGAACAAGAATCTGGAGGTTTGGAGTCCTCCTATGAAAACTGTCAAAGTTACCTTGTCGTCCGCCTCTTCTACCTGCAACATCTCTGCGTTGAATCGGGTGATGTATTCCCGAATCGACTCTTCCTTTTGTTGCCTCACGGTAAACAGGTAGGTAGCCGGCCTCCTATGCCTCTGACCTGCAATGAAGTGGCTCACAAACTGCTTACTCAATTCTTCGAAGGTGTTGATGGTTCCTAGCTTCAACTTGTTGAACCAAACTCTCGCTGATCCCTTAAGTGTAGTGGGAAAAGCTCGGCACATGATTTCATCTGGCACAGCGTGTAAATGCATAAGAGCTTGAAAAGTTTCCAGGTGATCGAGGGGATCTTTGGTCCTATCGAAACTTTCGAACGAGGGCATCATGAACTTGCTAGGTAGTGGACATTTCATAACGGCGGGGCTGAAAGGCAAGTTGGTCCTTTATACCAGATCATCTACGACGGCAGGACCTTTCCCTTTAATAGCCTGCATTACATCTTCCATTTTCCCCTTGAGATCCTTGATCTGCAAGTCGAGATGGGTAATTTTCTTTGTCTTTTCCTTAAGATAGAAGCTATGCTTTCAGGAGGTCGGGAACTCCGTAGGAGAGATGGGTGAACCACCTCTCTATGTCGGGTTCCCACCTGGCTTTGTTCCACTTCAGTCTCATTTTGGGGGGAATGATTATCCGTCTCTTCAAGATTTTCATTACCTCCGTTTGGACCTGAGAGATCTTGTTCTGGAAAGTTTTGTTGAGCCGGTGGAACAAGGTGTTGCAAGAGCGTTGCATTTTGCTGGATCAACTGATTCATACCTTGACTCAGAGTTTGAACCTGTAGTTCCAACGCTGCAAGCCGTGCCTGGTCGTTTGAGACGTCTAGGTTTTCACCTGACTCTACCCTTTGACCAGATCCCTGCGACGGTGTTCCTTCGGTAACCATACTGGACTGCAAACGTATATACCCGACGAGTAATTAATTGATTCAAGGGAATCGTGATTCCCACAAACGGCGCCAACTGTTGAGGCTGAAATTCGCACAGTCCGATACGATACCGTTTTCCTGCAAGGAAGAGAGGAGAAGATCGATGAATCTTGACGGCACCGATGTGGTGTCTGCCAAGAGCTCTCCGATGATCAAATTAGTCACGGAGGTCTAAAAAGAAAGCAGGGATTAATAATAGTTTTTACTTCGTACCTTCTTTAATGGCTTGATGCCCTATTTATGGTTGTCGATTGGAATCAAAATCGTTCCGCTGATGTTGATGGTTGACCTTATCTTTCGCATGTGCGAAATCATAGGAGATTTATTACCAGATTTGTCGGGATATGATTTAATCCTTTTGACCTTCTCCAGTTATAGTATGATTATTCTTACTTGTTGAACCACGTCAGATTTGATTTCATTATCCTTGATAATGAAATCTAATCAATCTTATGGAGAGTAGGGTAGGTTTATATTTTTTCCTATTAGATAAAATTTTAATTTGTCAATATTAATTAACATATTTAAATTATTATTAACTAATACATCCTTATAAAAGTTAAAACATTAAATAATTATTATTTAATTTTAGTTTAAAAGATTATTAATTAATACATTCTTAAAAATGCATATATAAATCTGAATTACAGATCAAAACAGCACGGTCTGGATTGAAAATTTAAAATTAAATCATCAAAATCTAAAGTTTATATTGTTAATTTAAGAATAATGCAGGGAAGGTTATTTTTTATATACTACACATATTTTGAAACATAAAAGAGGGTTATTCTATAAATTTATGACATGTTTGGTTCACTAGTTTAAAATTTTTTGTTTAGAAAAATAGCTGTTTTTATAATTGTCGAACAAATTTGTATTTTTCATTATTTAAATGGTGACAGTGTCTCTGTGATCGAGGGTCTTCGTCAGCTTCCTCCGCAACCCGCTGAATTTATGACATGTTTGGTTCACTAGTTTAAAAATTGTTTTTAGAAAAATAGCTGTTTTTATAATTGTCGAACAAATTTGTATTTTTCATTATTTAAATGGTGACAGTGTCTCTGTGATCGAGGGTCTTCGTCAGCTTCCTCCGCAACCCGTTGAATTTTCAACGTTCCAAGATCCTCTTTTTGCTACCAACCCATCAAAGCATAAACTAAGCACAAAAACCAGAGGGACAAGAAGAAGCAACAAAAATGGGAGCTTTGACAAAGCTGATAGACTCCATATCCTTCCTCTTCTTCATTTTCACACTTTAAACTGTGACTCTGTGACCTAGTGAGAGCAAAAGCTTGTGAAGTCTTCTTCTTCAGCCTCCTCCGCAAACCCGTTGACCTTTCAACGTTCCAAGATCCCCTTTTTGCTACAAAAACCCATCAAAACCTATACTGAAACAAAATCCAGGTAAGAGAGAGCGCAACAAAAATGGGGGCTTTGATAAAGCTGATAGACGCCATACTGTTCCTCTTCTTCATGCTCATCGCCATCGTAGCTCCGCTTATGGACGCCCAAACCTGCCTACCTCTGGAATACTTCCCCGATTTCCTCATCCATCTCAAGGACTCGTACGCCACTGACTACGGCGACTATTTGGTCACCGAGAAGCCAAATTTCTTCGTGGGCCTCGTTTGGCTCGAGCTTTTCTTCCAGTGGCCTCTCTCCCTCATCAATCTCTACGCCATTGCGGCTGGAAAGTCCTGGTTCGGTACTACTTGCTTGCTCTACGGAGTCTCTACTTTCACTTCTATGGTATGTTTTCCATTTCTCTTTGCCCCTTTTGATCTGTTACATACAACATAATATGGAAGATTGTTGGGAATTGTGTAGTTTTGATCAGATTTCTATTTGAGGGTTGAATTTTGTTTTATTGTTATGTGGGAAAATGCAGAAAATTTGCAGTGTGTTTTAGTGCTCTAATTGGTTTCTTTTAAGGAAAAATTGATTCATTCATATTGACTTGTAGGAGGAAATGATGGGAGATAAGTGTGATCTGCCTTGTTTGTTAACATGTGTATATGTGTGTTTGTGTTGTATTATATATATATTACAATGTCAAGTGGTATACGGTAAAATGCATAAACTTTGCAATGAGAGTTTTAGTGGTGTCTTTGGTCTCTAGGTAAATAAAAGCTAGCTAATCCATTATTGTCTGAGGAAATTATGGGAGAGAAGTGTGATTTCAGAATCTGATCTGCTCTGTTATCGTTGAGGGGCTTCCTCCAATAAATTCTGTTAACTAAAATGAAGAATATTAATTCCATCTCTTGTTTTCATATTTCTTCAAACTAAGAAATGGTTGCCAAGGTTGTTCTGTGGATATAATACGTTTGAGCAAGTCTACAATTATTGAAATTGCATATCAACTACCTAGTGCTCTAAACCGAATAAACTAACAAGTAACTGCTCATATGCTTGCCACACCAGAAGCTCTCATAATAAGCACCATTGGTGACTAGGTGATCCTTATTGATCTATATATACATACATGGGGAGTTTGAGGAGTAGAGGGGCTTTCCACAAGCAATGATGGATTATAAATTCGTGAGGTCATGAGAGAACTTCAACAGGTCTACCTAATAATGCAATAAGATAACTTCTTTTAGGATATAGAATGGTTGGATCACCACACATCATACCCTCGTTAGCAAATGGGAGACTTCAATGGTGGACTTACCATCTCATTGCCGTGGCACATCCACGAGATCACTGCTAGAATAGCAGGATCCTTCTTTCCTTTTTTAATGATTTTTCATTTATAATGTGAAATGATAAAACTTGCGTAATGGACAATGTAGTTACAGCTGGAGGATGATTTAACCTTTGTTAGTTTTATGCATTTCAGGTTGCCATATTAGCAGAACTGATGTGGTCCAATAAAGCATCAGATAAGCTGTTGATGATCTACGCCCCTTTCATGGGTTTTGCTGCTTTAGCAATTTTGCGCGGCCTGCTGCCTCACTCTGGCAAGACATCCGCAATTGGCAAAAGACCTGCGTTAAATAAGAAGAAGAGGGCTTGAAATAGTTTGACTCAGCAGCTAAGCTTTTGTGTTACTTTTTCTCATTTTAGGAAATATTTTATTCCAAATCTTCCAGTTGGATGATAAGGTTCATTTTGTATTCACTGAAGTAAGGTTTTAGACAATGGTCTTTTTTAAGTTTTGTTATAAAGCATTATGGAATGATAGAATTGAACCAAAGATGGTTTATTAACAGTTCCTTTTTTTTCTTTTTTCTTTTTTCTTTTTTCTTTTTTCTTTTTTTTTTTTTTTTTTCTAGTTATGAAATACATTTGTGTTTGTTACTTTGTTTGCATGAAAGTACAGCCAGGTTTATACTATGGATTGATACTCCATGATTGTGGGAGCTTTATACTTAAAACAGTACCATTTCAGATGTTTGTGTGATTAATTTGAACTCAAATTACTAGTTTGCTTTTTGTGTGGTGTGGTCATTCCTCATTGAAATTTCAATTTTATTTTATTTATTTATTTTTTTTTGAAGATTACAAAATTACCCATTTAAATTATGTTTGTTGGGAGTAAGTTTTCAATTCTAACCATTATGGAACGGAGGGAGTATTTGCGAGTATTTGCTTTACAGCGTAGGTGAAACTGTGATGTGAAATTCAATAATGAAGATAAGATGACAAGATGGTTTCCTTTTTCATTTGTTGTTATACATGTATGTCTCGGAATTGTCTTTCCAATTATCTTCCATATCCAATGCTTAAGCAAAGTTATCCCCCAGAAGCTTTAGAACAAGCCTCGTGTAGAGGATCATGCCACGTCATGGCGTATGTGGCACCATATATTAAGAGAACATCTGGCCAATTCGAATAGGACCATACATAGTCCTAATTGGCACATCTTTGGCATCACCAATAGTCTCGAGCTACTTAGTATTTGGGGATTATTGAACTCGCGAAGGGCAAGGGATTTGTTACCCTTCACCCTCCGGAGGTGAGGCCCCGCTCCAATTGGGTGGGTTTCACCAACCACTCCCTATCGTGTATGAAGTTCTCTTCTGTAGAAATTTTTTTTGTACAAAGCTACTGAGTATCTGGCAATTACTCAACTCGCGAGGGCAAGGGGTTGTTACCCTTCGCCCTCTAGAGGTGAGGCCCCCCTCCAATTGGGTGGGTTTCACCAACCACTCCCTCTCATAAGTTTTTTTATATATTAATTAAAAGTGATTTCCCGTGAACTCTAGACCTACAGGGTTGGGGGCACTAAAGACTTGACCCTTTACCATTCGGGTAATACCGCCAGACTCAGCTATTAAGTTTTGATATCATAATATATCATGAGTTTGACTTTGTGTTCATTTTTTTACCTAATGTGACCTTCCCAAATTTAGATCGGAGAAAACCAAACTTATTCTTTACGTAGCTACTTTAACTTGATAATTAACATTGAATTGGGCATCTCAAACTATAATATAGGATTTTTTTTTTCCTTTTTTTTTTTTTTAGCGCTGAAAAAAAAAAAAAAAAAAAAAAAAGAAAAAAAAAAGAATGGTTATTGGAGATATTTTCAGCAATCTCTATCACAAATTTTATCAAGGCATCATTTCCATAAGTTAAATATTTTTGATTAAGTGGTACAATTAAATTAACATTGTTGGAACACAATTAAAGAAACTTCAATAAGATATTATATTATTAGTGTCATTAGTCAATTATATTATTTATAAAAAAATTAGACATTATAATTACTATTTTAGGCATTTTAAAGTATTTTTGCGATCAATCACTTTTTTAGGTCAACAAATTTAAATGTCCCGGTTAAGTTAATTACTCCGTATTTCATTTTGCATTTAATTTGAAATGACCCTCGCATCCCCACTCGTTTTTTAGACTTTCCCTGAAGATCGTGAAGGTGAAACGCGTCATCTACAGCTTTTTGAAGCCTCTATGTGAATGTTTTATGAAATTTAATGAAAGGACCACAAAGACAGAACAAGGAAATCCCTGACCGACGCAAGGAAAACTGCAGCCTCACAAAGGATGACCATAGAGTCGTTGCCAAACACCCCTCTGCACCTCCTGCTTCTCGAGCTTTCGCTTGTGCTTATATGCTAGCACATGCGTCACTACTCACCGTCCGTTTACATTAGATTAATTCCACGTCCTAAGGCTAAAGTACGCCGCTCCCCATTCATATATAAATATTGCAGATTTTGGAATTATATATAATCTGATATCATCGTTTGATTCGCAACGTATTCTGATACTCCATTTCGCTTAGAGAGAGATTCATCTGATCATCATCTTCCATCTGATCAACAACCGAGGTAAATGTTCCTAAATTCTCCATATGGATTTGTCAAAGAATCGATAATTGTCTCATAAGTCAAGGTCATGGTGGAATTAGTCTAAGAAACTGTGTCCTTTATCTTTACAGTTTTGAATATTTGTTGGTTAATTGTTTGATCTCTTCTGGGTTTTGAATATTATTGATGTATGTTGTTTGGTATCAAAGGAATTGTAGGTATTGGTTTGGCAACCTCTTGACTATTGTCTTATCATTTTTTATTTTTTAATATTTTATACTTTTTAGCTGATCTTTCTTGTTGAATGTGGGTTTCATCTGAAAATCTATTTGTATTTGAATTGGGAACTTAAACGGTTTAATTGATTGCCATTGAATTGATTGAAGATTAGAACGTTTGGGTTTCTTTAATTTGAAGGTGGAGTTCAAGATTCAATGTAACAGGAATTATTGTTTTGGAGATAAACATGGTTGCAAATTAAGAAACGAGTTAAAGTATTTGTTACTTGAATTCAAATTCGTTGATGATAATTCTATAAATTTCAAGAATGGTGCTTCTTAAGCTGTCTCACGCACACTAGCAATTCAAGAATGGTGCTTCCTAAGCCCATAGTTATTCAAGTTTCTGCTAAAACATTTATCTTTCTACGCATTCAAGTTTTTACCTTCATTGAATGTTAAGATAGTCTTCATTAAGTTGCCATAGTTGTTGTTTAGTTGAAGCTTTCTAGTACTGGCACAGTGGCACTTAGCATTGTCATCAGAACTCTTCAGTCTTGATCAAAGATAGAGGATGGAGGTTTTACTGTCAGTCTTTGGTTTTTCTTTGTTCCCTCCTTGCCCACGAAAATGATATAAAAGAATTCTGTCCTTGCATCACAATCTGGCTATTATGTAAATTTTTTGTATCAATTCATGGATCAGAACATGATCAAAACATGGTTTTTGTGGAGTGGGAATTGGGAAAGGTGTAGAAGCTTTATCCTGATTGCACAAATAAATTGAGAAAATTCGACCCGTTTGATATCCTATTAAATTTTTTAATTCTGCTAAGTTTGGACAAATAAAGCTGTGTACTTTGAAATAGATGAAAAGTGGCTAAAATTTATATGAATGAACTCCTTATCCAAAGTTGATTAAATTCATGACGTGGCATTTTCTTTTGCAAATTTCTTGCAGCTCAGTATGCAACAGCAAAAGCAAAACACAGAGCACAACATCTCAGTTACATGGAGGGGGAAGAAGTTTATTCTGGAGATGGATTCAGCTGCTACTCTCAAAGAGTTAGGCCACGAACTGCAGAAACTGGCTGATGTCAAAGCAGATACTATGCGGCTCATTGTACCACAATCTTCCAATAAATTTCCGAAATTGCTGTTGCCTTTCTCAGATGAGCACTCTGCTCTAAGTTTGCGAGATATATCATTTCTTGAGGTACCATTCTTTACTATTAATCTATGGTCAATAAATATTGCTTTTACATCATGTAACTAATTCTTATAATATGTGCTTGTATTTTGCGCTTTATTTTTTTTTGGTTGATGGGGGGTTAAGCAAGCCATTTATGGCAGATACACACTGCTGACTTCTTATACAGTTTTACTTATATCTCTTCTTAATGTAAGACTAGTTTCATGTGATCTTTTATTTCTTTTGAGATAGATTTGTTGGCCATACTTGATTTGAATCACATCGGCGTATGAATACACACACCATCAATGCATGCAAAGGAAAACTGACCGCTTTGCTTATTTTATTGTGTGCTTGGTTTTCTCAAGCACGACTGTCCTGACTTGAATCACATCAGCGTATGAATACCCTATCGATGCATGCAAAGGACAACTGATTGATTTGCCGTTTTTTTTTTTCGTGTGTGTGTGAGCACACTTGTCCTGGATGTCACCGTTCCCATTAGTAGAATTGTATGGCTTGTTATGACAATCATCGTAGCGAGTAAGAAAGCCTGAATAATCATGTCTATTAAATGAAGTGTTTAGTAAAGACTGAAATGACCATTTTTGTTGAGCACTATTTTTTATAGGGGTACAATTGTCAGTACTACAAGCCTACAGCATATATATATATTGGTTAAACTAGGGTAGTCCTGAACTGATTTTTTATTTGTGCACGTGCACTGTACAAAAGAAGGTAAAAAGTAGCTGCAAGCCTGGACTACGTTTGCAATAAATTTTAGAAATAAAAGTTCGTTCTTCTTTCCACATCTCAGAAGAGCAACATTGTTGTTCTTGTTTTATAACTTTGTAAACATGTTTGAGAATTTCTTATTGGTCTCGTGTGGTCATCAATTCTTGCATTCTCTATTTCAGGGGAAGTCTATTAGGATGATGGGAGTGCCTGAAGTTGAGGTGGATGAAGTCCTGCAAAATGCAAAGGCCGACCTGAGGATAGCAGGATTTGAGCAAGAGGAGAAGAGACTAAAGCAAAGAATGTTAGATAGACCGCATACTTCTCTAAAACTTCCACACGGACAATACATCTTTTGTGATTTCCGCACACTTCATATTCCAGGACTAGAGGTATAGTCAGGCTTTGCTGAAATACTTTTTTTTCTGGCTTTTACATACATGATTTTTCTCTAATTTACTTGTTTTATATTCAAGTTGTATAAGGAAACATGAAGCATCAATAACTTTGGGTTTTAGATAGATTTGGTATTCTTGGGGGATTTTTTCGCCCTGTGTGCGCTTGTGGTTTGGGAATCTTTTTTTCTGGTTTGGGGGGGTGTTGCGGGGTTTCCTTTAACTAAAATTCAACCATTATTGCGATTTTTTTTAAGAAGCCAGTGGCCACCACTTCGTACACCATTTTCCTATATAACTTGTTTGCATCTAAAAGATGTTGCTTAGGGAGGAATAGTTGTGATTGTAGTGTGTGTTTTTTGGGCTATCTAAGACATGAGTGACTCCCTGTTCTGTTTTGACAATGGTAAGCAGTTCAGAAATCATTTTTTTTTTTTTTTTTTGATAAGTAGAAATCATTTAAAAGGTCACATGAGTTAAGTTGGTTGAACCAAGGTTTGATGGATTAATGATCACCTTGTTGCTGAAATATTGGACCATTCCGAAGTGGGATGTCAATGGGGTTACAGATCTTTCCTCGACTGATCTAGGACCTAGTATTTAAAGTGCTTTGAGAGGCAACTAGCATTGTGAAAGAGGCATTATCTTTGTAAACAGAAAGTGGCTCCTGTTAAGGGCATTCCTTTGTAGTATTCTAACTTCTATTATGCCCCTTCTTCCTTTAAGTTGTCGGGATTTTTTTTTTTCTTTTTCCTGGTTGGTAAAAGTTGTCGGGATTTCAAAGGCTTGAGAGCCATGGCTGCTGGTTGGAATTGATATATCAGGTGAAACGGGTATCATTTTTACGATAACAGGTTGTGTGTTTGGCATTGCAGTCATGTAGCTGGATTTCTGGGCTAAATAGTTATGCAGGGGAAGGAAAACAGACTCTTACCAAGAGCAGTACATATTAGTCTAAGTGGATCTAAGGCTTGTAAAGATTCAGAAATACTTCCTATTCAGGATAGGCTAGCGGATATCAAGCCATCTGTAGTCAGGCAGATAGGATCTGAGGTTGAATTGGTCTTCCATCGCAGAGGGGCGAGCTGGCATTTCAGGCTGCCTTATTTTCTCATCCAGGGCTTGGCTGTTACAAAACAAAGTAGGGGGCTATAAAGTGGAACTAAAAATATGATACGGTGATTTGGGATTCTGAACTCTGGTCATTTACATGTGTTTTTCTGAGGTAGTGGATTTTCAGATTGGGGAACTCTTTTTGTAAAGTAGTGCTAGTATCTGACTCAAACCCTAGTCCTCTTATAAAGAGCACCCCCTGGCCCTGGATTCCACCTAGAATACGAGGTCATTGGCAACGAATCATAAAGAATTCAGATATCTTCCCACTGGGACGTTAAAAGTCTCAAAATCTCTTATCTTTATGTTCGTCAAGAGCATGTTTATTGTATGTGCTTGTTCCTGTGATTTCTCTGTTCAAGTCTTGCATGTGTCCCCTGCTCAATAAAGCTCTATGTCTTTCCTTCTACCTTTTTCGGATAGGAATGAGCTGGTCTGTTTCTTGAACTGCTTACTGACCCAGTTGTTGCTGTCAACAGTTGAATCCACCGGCCTCTGAGGCACTGAAACGAATGCATATGCTTGCTGCAGATCCAGGAATAGTTTCTATCATGAATAAGGTAGTATCAGGTGCCATTTCTTAGTTGCAACTGTACCATTTACATAATGTTTTCTGTCAGTTCTGATATGGTATGTTCTTTTGTATTTCTTAAAAGCATCGTTGGCGGGTGGGAATTATGACTGAGTTGGCCCCAGTGGGCTATGTTGGTGTGAGCCCCAAATGCATTCTTGGTTTCAACAAGGTAAGGGTCAACCTCAGCATGAGAGAGGTGAATTTATGATATACACTTTTCTCTTTGTTTTTGGTTGTTTTGACTCCTGATTGGTGTTCCAGAATCATGGAGAGGAGATATCTCTACGTCTGCGAACTGATGACCTCAAGGGTTTCAGGAAATATGAGAGCATCAAGAAAACTCTTCTGCACGAACTTGTGAGTTGTAAGCTTTACTTTGTCATGAAATATGTCAAATCTCTTTCTCATGCCCATGTCTACATGTGCTGTAGCTTCATTTTTTTGCATGACCATTTGGTGAATAATTAGGAATGACTATCAAATGCACTTATTTGGTTCTTATATTAATTTTAGGCTCACATGGTGTACTCTGAACATGATGCAAACTTCTATGCTCTAGATAAACAGGTATATATGGATGTGCCTCTCTCTCTATATATATATATCTCCACGTGAATTGACTACATCACTAGGGCTTGGTTTTCTCTTGATTGAATCCCCCTCCCTTATTTCTTGCAGCTTAACCAAGAAGCTGCTAGTTTAGATTGGACGAGAACAAGAAGCCACACCTTGAGTGGAGTCAGGAACTCAGAACATTATGAAGAGGAGTTTTATGTTGATAGCAATAGCAATTCATCTCATAAGCTTGGGGGGAACACATCAGTTCAGCTGGCTAATGCTCGTGCATCTTCAGTGGCTGCTGCTTACCGCCGTGTAGCAGATGCATCTACTAACATATTGACAACACTTCATGTACACGAGGAAAGGGACCCTGATGATTCTGGGTTTGGTACTGATGAAGAACCTGATCATATGGAAGCTGTGGATAAAGAGAGAATGGATATTAAAAATCAAAACAATGCTCAGTTGAAATGCATTGACGAGCTCGATCCTGATGACTGCTACAACAGTCAGAAAAAGTTTGAGCCCTATCCTGATGATACCGAGGGTGGTGAAACTATGGATACTGAACCACATTTAGAATCCATGGAAAACAGGATCTCCTCGGAATCAGATCATGATGATGTTGAGATGACACAGATTGTACCTCCTTTGACAACTGAAAGAAAGTTGGCAATAACTGAGTCATGTCAGGTACCTGATCCTGATGATTCTCAAGCAAATGGAGTTTCATGGGCTGAGCCTGATCCTGATGATGATTTGACACCTGGGCAGGGAATTTCTAGAATACAGACTGATGAACTTGATCCTGATGATGAAGAATTACAGAGAATTCAAGACCCTGTTACTGTCTTTTGTAGTCGTCTGCAGAAGGCCATTGAGATGTTGCGATCTGAAGTTAATCCTTTGGAGGCTGGCACAGTCTTGCAAACTTTATTTAAGATAATTAGGTAAACTTGTACAACTTGTATTTCATATTCTTTGTGAAAGTGTTCCTAGTTGTTAACCCATTGTATTGTTGACAAAAGTTGGAATTCCTTTTATTTATGCAGGAATGTCATTGAAAACCCAGATGAAACGAAATTCAAGAGACTCCGCAAGGTGCGGTATTTCCATGTCATAATAATAAAATTTTTTCCCCTTGATTTTTTGTTTTAAATATCATATTTTGCTCATCAATCTTCTTATGTATTAATGGATTATGTACTGCAGGCTAATCCCATAATTCAAAGACATGTTGCAAATTATAAAGGTTTGCCTCTCTTCTCAATCTTAAATTTTGAATTAATTGAATGCATGAATGTCCCAAAACTAAATGCAATTTCATTGGTCAGTTTGACAATGTCAAATTAGTCAATTCAAATTGAAATTTTTAAGTCATCCATAATTGTTTAGTCAAAACGAGAATTCATTTGATTGAACCATCTAGTTTCCTTTGTTTACTTTGGGACATGTCTGGCTTCAAGATTTTGATTGACTGAAATTCTATTTCCATTACACTTGATTCGATTTTATCTTGAAAATGCCAATGCACCCTAGAAGGTCCATCCAAACCTTAAATCATGCTGGCCGAACTTATAATTAAAAGCGTCTGTCCTGTAAATGCCATTTGAACAATGCCTGTTTTCTGCTTTTTGTGATTTACAGCTGCCATGGAGATTCTTTCATTGATTGGTTTCCATGAAGATGCTGTGTTGGATGGAATTGGGAATTCGGAAACTTATTTAGTGTTGAAGCGGAATGATCCAGGCTTGTTGTGGCTTGCCAAATCCTCCCTAGAGACATGCATTGCTTAGTATTTTGTATGTGGAATAACAGTAGCAGCAGATGCATTGCTTAGTCAGTTAGCATTGTATGTGGAATAACAGTAGCAGTACAATCAAAATTTGTGACAGAAAAGCGTGGAGAATAATTATGGTATATGTATCAATCATGTATTCTGCTGTGTATAAATACATTGTAGAGTTACAGAATTGTACATTCGATGTTGTGACAAATTATCAGGTAAATATTACATGGTGGTAAAGGCTTGGTTTTTTAAGTTGGAAAGTCTTTTTTTTGGTTTAAAGTTTTTCTTCTTATTATTATTATATGGTTTGAGTTTAGGTTTATGAAAATTTACCATTATACCACATAGTGATCTTTTTTTTTTTTTATGGGAAGGCACATGGTGATCTCTTTAGTATTCCTTATGTGGTATATAATATATGATAAGAGTATTCGAGTCTGATGGTGTGGATTCAAAATCAAAATAGTGGTCTTTTCACTTTTTTGCTTTGTTTGGTAGGAATGAATGAAGAGGTGTGGAGTTTGCTTTGTTTGGTAGGAATGAATGAAGAGGTGTGGAGGTAAGATGGGAAGGAATTCATTATTTGGAGGGAAAAGATAACCAGAGGATGATAAGTGGGATTGTTATAAAAAATTTAAATTATAATATTACTATTTTGAATTATACAAGTTTTAAATTATAACACTATTTTTTATAAATTGTAATATTACAGATAGTGATGGATATAATGATAAAAAATAATTTAAAACCCTCCCTTCCCTTCTTTCTTTACTAACACAATAAAAAAAGATCTAATCTGTTTTCTAGTGATGTTTCATTTATTCCTTTTTTTCATTTCCATCTAAATTTTTCTTTCCCATGTCACATAAATGAGATGAAATATCAGTTTTGCCATGGATTTTAATTAAGCAACAGGCCTACCACTGTGGGGTTTTTCTGATTTTTGGGTTGGGCCCATTTGGGAGGCCATGTGCGAGGCCTATCAGTGGCATGCATGTGACCATATCTCAGTCACAGTCAGTTAAGCGGGACTAGAGTGAAAAAGACACGTCACTGACGACCAACGAAAGACAGTACACAGTTACGAACAGTACTAAGTTCATTTCCGACAACGAAGATTGAAAAAAACAAAAACAAAAACAAAAAACAAAACAAAGAAAGAATGAGAAGTAATCTGTTTTAGGAGCATATTAAACTCGATATAATAATATATATTTAATTAACTAATAGTACAGTTATATAATAAGTTAAAAAAATAAAATTGTAATCAAAATTCATAAAAGTATGTAAAAAAAATTAATTGCCAAAAGAAAATTCAGAAACATAAAATACAGATACTAAAAATCATTGCGGCAACAAATTTTTATTTTGTATTTTTATTTTATTTTATTTTATTTTATTTTATTTTTGTGGCTTGATTTATTCCAAAACAAAAATATGGTTGGTAACTAATTTATTGCAAAATGTTTAAATATTTTTTATAAATTGTATTGCCCAACAAGATATAATCATATAACCATATAAATTCCATTGATAAATTTATAGAGTAAAAAAAAAAAAAAAAAAAAAAAAGAGAGAGAAAAGAAGGATACAGCACATATATTATATATGAGTGCAAAAAAGAAAGTTTTTAAGAATAAAAAAAGAAAATGTAAGAAGAAGAAAATAAAAAAGGAAAAAAATATGAGAGAAGTTTGAAAGGCAATTCAAAAATTTAGGATTTGATTGAAGAAAGAGAATGCAATTTATTTATTTATTTATTTATTTTTTTTTTTGAAGAATATCAAAAAGAATTTGAAGAAGAATAAAAAGGAAAGAAATAAAAAATTAGGGGGATTTAAAAAAAAAAAATTGAAACATTTTGTAAAACTATACAAATTTTAGGCATACATATATAAAAATAAAAATAAAATAAACCTTATGCTTCATGCTTGGTAACTGATACTCCATTTATGCTGCGTTTGGTGGGCATGAATGGAATAGAATGGAATGTCCATCCCAATCATTCCTTTGTTTGGTATGTAATTTAAAGTGGGAATGACCGTTTCATTGGAATGAATTTCACAACTAAATTTATGGAATGGTCATTCCATTCCCAAGTAAATTTTTTTAAAAAATCAACTTCCCAAAAACCCACATATTCCAAATCCAAAAACTACAATTACCTTTTACCATAACCATCTCTGCTTTTCACCAACACCACCACTACCACCGCCTTCCACCACCACCACTGCCACCGACTTTCACCATCGTCCACCGCTTTCCACCACCACCACCGACACCGTTTTTCACCATCGATATCGCCTTCCATTGCTGCAACCACCGCCGTCGCCTCCTTTTACCACTGCTACCGTTGCCACTGTCGCCGCTATCGCCTTTCACCACCACCACCACTACTACCGCTTTCCACCACCATCACCACCACCGTCATCGCCTTTCACAACCTTCCGCCACCGCCTTTCACCATAGCCACCGTCTTCCACCATCACCACCACCTTCCACCACTGCCACTGCCTTTCACCACTACTACCATTTTCCGTTACCGCCTTCAATCACCACTTCCTTCCAATGCCACCACTGCCATCGCCTCACACCACCACCACCGTCACCGCCGCCATCGCCTTCTACCATTGCCACCACCTTCTACCACCATCGCCTTTTACCACCAATACCATTTTCCACCGCCACCACCACCACCACCGCTACCTCCACTGCCTTCTACCATCGCCACAATCACCTCCATTGGCTTCCACCACCACCACCGCCACCGCCTTTCACCACTTTCTATCACCACCGCCACCACCTTCCCACCAACACCATCGCCACCGCCTTCCCACCTTCCATCACCACCACTACTACCACTATCGCCGCCACCGCCACCCCTTCCACCACCACCACCACTTTCTACCACCGCTACCTGCACTACCTTCCATCACCGCCACAATCACCTCCATTGGCTTCCACCACCTCCACCTACAGTATTATCTCCTTCCACGACCACTATCACACTATTGCCACCGCTTTCCACCAACATCACTGCCGCCTTCCACCACCACCGCCACCCGCCGCCTTCCACCATTGCATTCACCGTCATCTTCTAACATCACCATTTCTACTTTCCACCACCATCCACCACCACCACTGCCACCATTTATTTTTAAAAAATTATTAGAGAATGTCATTTTATTAATTTAATTTATTTGTTACTAAGAGGGATATTTTGGAGAATTCAATTTAAAATTTATTCCATCTTAAATTTTAAATTAGTCTAACCAAACACTTGAATAGTTATTATTATTTCATTCCTATATATTTCATATTTACAACCAAACAATATAATGAGAATGACAATTCCATTCCATTCCCATTATCATTACATTCCTACTTGCATTTCATTCCATTCATGCACACCAAACTCAGCATTATTGAATCGAAACCTAATAAAATGGAATGTTAGATAAATTGAGAATTTATTTATTTTTATTATTACTTATTTTTTAAAAACTCATTGAATTTTAAGTCTTGTGTGAAATATCCATCACTCCAAATTTTATACTTTTTATTTTTATTTTTATTTATTATTATTTTTTTAATAAGTTGAAGCAATTGTATTTTAAGCAGTTTGAGTTATTTTTGTGGTACAATAAAAGAATAATAATTGAATTATTTTTATTATAAAATAATTTGGGGTGTTTAGCACAAGGTAAAGTACAACAATACTCCCTGAAGTTTGCCAAAAAGAACACACATATGAAACTTAACCTATTTTGGGACAAAGACACTCCCTCAAGTTTGATACAGTTACCAAAGACACCCAATGGTAATGAATTGACATTTTTGCCCTTTTACTTTTATATTGACCAATTTGAATATTGAAATGACCTTTCTAACCTCAGACTCAGACCCATACCCATATCTGTCCTTCTCTCCTCTCTGTTCTCTCTTCCTCCTCTTGCCGCCCCAACACCAACACACACACATAATATGAGCAATCCACACACACATATATACACACACATAAACTGCGGGTTCAAGTTCACATATTTGCATTTCATGATCCAACAAGTCCACCCCTAAATCCATATAGTGTGTTTTCTTTGCAACGATCCTGCAAGTAGTCTACCAGAAACCAAAAATATATTAAAATCACTAACAATCTAAATTAAAGGCACATAAATAGCTTCTTGATCTCATCTGCACTCCACATCATAATCAAGCCATTGCACATAATTTATTAATCCTAAACCTTCGTTTAGTTGTTGAGAGAGAAAACGAAGTAAAGAAAATATTTTTTCTTTTTTCTTTTTTTTTTTTAAAAAAAAATCTAGTACAGAAACGCAATGAAAGTGCTAAACCAGATTAAAAGTGGAATCAAGCTCAGATCAATAAAAATAATAAAAGTCCAACGACGTAAAAATTTCTATTCGTGATTCAGAGATCTGACAATGCGCTCATAAATCAATCTATATCCATACATATATTTATATATATATATATATGCGTGTGTGTGTTGACATGTATATATGTTGATCCTTCTACTATATATATATATATACATATATGTATATATATATATATACATATATGTATATACAGATACATATTGTTAATAAAAAGATTCTGTGTATCTTATTATAACCGTTGTATACTGATTCTTACCGTGATTCTTACTGTGATTATATCTTAATCACAATTGTATAGCTGTTGCACAATAGCCTATAAATAGGCTCCTTTGTACATGATCCAAACATAATTCAACATACATCAATTATGTATTTCTCTCATATTGCATCTTTGTCTCTCTGACTCTGTTAATCAACATGGTATCAGAACTAGAGAGACAAAGATGATAATGCTATGGAGTACAACGAAACAAATTTTCTAAAATTTCTTCGCCGACATGGCATGATCTCTCACTCTTCTTATCCTGGCACATCCCAACAAAATGGGTGGGCTGAACATAAACATAGGCATATCTTAGACACTGTTCGTTCCCTCTTAATATCCAATTCATGTCCTGAGCATTTTTTGGGGGAAGCAGCTCTCACTGCCATATACACCATCAACCGTGTTCCCATGCCTATTATTGAAAATCAATCTCCCTATGAACGCTTATATGGGATCTTTCCTGCTTATAATCTTTTCAAAGTTTTTGGATGTACTTGTTTTGTCTTACTTCAGCCTCATGAACGTATCAAATTAGAGCCTCGGGCTCGTTTATGTTGTTTTCTAGGTTATGGAATTAAACACAA